CAACGGGGGGGGGGGTGAGCATATATGTATATATATATATATATGTATATATATGTATATATGTATATATGTATAACTATATATATATATATAATATGTATATATGCAAACTGTTGCGAAGTGCAGCAGCTTGTGAAATGAGACTAGCGTCTAGGGGCCTAGGGTCCAGGGCTTCTTGCGGGCTCAGTTGTGAAATCTGAACCTGTGAGGGTGCTGGTATGATCGTAGACTCTTGTCGACAAGGGAGTCTTGTCCGATTCGAAACGCAAACGAATCAGGAGGATGGTGTTGTTGTAAACCTCCTAGAAAGTTCGGCTTCTGTCGCATCTTATTAGAAAGTGGACTCTAAGAGGGAACCAGACATTGTTCCGCAAAACTGAGACGCCTTGATCTGCCTGAGCGCCCCACCTGCCATACCAGCCGTTGCCGAACGTCCAGAGTGTGTTCTCGGTCTCCGAAGGGCCCTCGACGCACATGAGCAGAATATAAAGTTATGTAGATAGCATAGTCTAGTCTGGTATACTGTAATATATCATAACATAGTATAGTATAATATAGTATAGTATAGTATAGTGTAGTATAGTATATTATAGTATAGTATAGTATAGTGTGAGATACTATAAGGTACTATAATGTCATATAACATAAGGTAATATAATACCATATCACATAACATAAAACAAGATAAGATAAGGCAGGATCTGACACTGTAAGATACGATAACTATAAGATACATACCGTATCAAATAATATCAGACAATGTCATATGATATAATAAGTATCGTTTTAACGTAATATGAAATGAAATGATATATATATATATATGTATATAGGGTGCGAGTGTGACTCTCGCAGCCCAGGTCAAAACTGGCACGACTCTGATTCTCCCACTTGCCACACCGTGACTGGAGCCCACTCTTAAGTTCCTTGTCGAAGACGCCTGGGTACAGAAAACAGCTCTAACATACTTGGCACAGTTTTTTCGTTAATGTGTTCTGCATGTATGACAGCAGCTCTAAAGAACTGCAATGGAACCGGAACAACCCTCTACGTGCACAAGGATAATCGTTCCGCACAGGCCAAATCTGCCGTCCCACACAGGCCTTCATCCCACATCTACCAAGGAGACCCCAGTGGACATGCGCTTTCGCGTGTTCTCTGCTGAATTCTGAATTCTACAGACATTCCCTAAACTTTACATGCTCCTTAACAGACGAGGAACGCCCTGCCCACAAACCACTGCAGTGCTGTTTGCACCACATCTCACCTGCACTCAGGATGCAGACCCCTCGACTTCATACTTACAGGTGTCCACAATGCTTCATCACGAGATATCTGCCTGGGGCGCTATGCTACATCCCAGTCTTCGTAACTAATGCTGAACTGTACATTTGAGACAACCAAACGACTGACCGCGGCATACACCGCTAACCATCGATGTATCAGTCTGTCCAACAATTTGTTCAAGTTCCGTGCATAGAATATAAGTTCGCCTGCGGTCCATTGCTGCACAGCATCCGGATGCATGATGCCATGTTGAAAGGGCTATCTACAAATCTTGTGACACGAGAAACGACAGCACACAATAAGATGCAGACCTTCCGGGATGATTTTCGAACATACCCCTCGCTTTAGCCGGCCATGTGCATGCTTCTGTCTCATGAAAATAGGCGGGAAGAGGCGTCTGAATTTGACCATGCCCACCCGGGTGGTGTTGCGGAAGTTTTGCGTGCTAGGCTAGTCCTTTTGGCGAAACAAGCTCCGAAAACTAACTGGATGATGATACTGACGACCATGTTGACGAAGAGCATGATTTCAATGATGATCATGATCATCATCATGATGATGATGATGACGATGACGATGATGATGATGATAAAACGACCATGCTTGACTGCTCTGGAAGGGCAACAACGCACACGATCTGATAAGATCGCCACTCCTCTTCCTGCTACTACTACTACTACTACTACTACTACTACTACTACTACTACGACCACCACCACCATCACCACACTAGCACCACCACTACTCCTGCTACTGTTACTGCTGCTGCTACTGCTGCAGCTGCTGCTGCTGCTGCTACTGCTACTTCTACTGCGACAACTGTACTGCTACTTCGTTGCTACCACCACCACGACCACAACTACAACTTAGTCACGACCACGACCACGACTGTGGCGACGCTTCCTACGACTGCGCTACCACTACCAGGCACAAACTGCTCCGACGACCATCACACCTCCGCAGCCAGATTTTGCTAACTCTCTACAAGACTCTGTTCTCACAGCCAGGTCGCAAGGAGCGGATTGGACTGAGGCCCGTCCGTGTCGAAGTTGACCTGCGAACTGCAGCAAAGTCCACCGAGGCTAACACCTTCGCATAGAAACTGAGCCACACCTCACTCACTCACTCACTCTCTAAATCTGCCTGAGCCAGCAAACTCCATCGACAACTCCTGCCCTCCCCTCCACCTTCGTCGGTGTATGCAGGGGCCCGGATGTGATGAACTGTCCAAGGCCCAGGACACCGCTGTCAGAGCTCCCCCAGCTATAAAGTAATCCTGCAGCTTTGAGACTTTGGGATTGGAGGTCTTTGGGGTTCAAAGGGCTTTCTGTTTGATTTTATGGAATATGTATGTAGTCAGTCCTGCATGTGACAGGCATGCATATCTATTTATCTTTGCCTGTGTCTGCGCGAGCATTTGCGCATGTGTGACATAGACATAATGATGTTCCCTGTACTTGCGCAATGTTGCAACTGAGGTGAAGCCATGAAAGCTGAAACGCATCCTGGAGCCTGAAAGCCCTGATGTGCCGACACAAGGGCTGACCAGGAGGATCAAGCTTGTATCCCTCAATTCAGGTTTCCGGAGGAGGAGGAAGCTTTCCTGATTCAGGACATTGGCCATTTCCGGGAAGCGTACAGAACCGCACAACTGTGTTTGTTTGTTTGCTTTTGTTGTGTTTGCTTGTTTGCTGGCTTGCTTGTTATTGCTTGCTTGCTTGCTTGCTTGCTTGCTTGCTTGCTTGCTTGCTTGCTTGCCTGCCTGCTTGCTTGCTTGCTTGGTTTGTTTGCTTGCTTGCATTTTGCTTGCTTTGCTGGTGTGCTTCTTTGGTTGTGTGTGTGTGTGTGCGTGTCTTTGTGTGTGTGTGTGTGCTTGTGTGTGTGTGTGTGGGTTTAGGGTGGGTGTGCGTGGGTGTGCGTGGGAGCGGGTGGGTGTGGGTTGGTGTGGGTGGGTGTGGGTGAGTGTGGGTGGGTGGGTGGCAGGGTGTGTGCGTGTGTCTGTCTGTGTGTTTGTGTATCCTTCTGTCAGGCACACCGGGGCAGGACCTCAGGTGCAGGGTCTATCTTAACTTAGTCATGTCGGCAATGTTGCAGAAAACAATGTCATAATTTGTATGAACGTATGAGCAGCTATGCAATGTTATGTGTGTCTGTATGTATGCGCCGTGTGCATAAGCATGTGTGTCTAAGTGCGTCGAAACATTTCACAAACAAGCGACATACCAACAAACATGCAAACAAACATACATACATAATTCATAGAGACAAACGATGAAAACCCCCACGAGCACACGTACATGTTACATAACCCAGAAAGGCACGTGCACTGACATCCACGCCGTCAAACTGCGCTGTGTAAGCCTCCTGCGGAGGTGTGTGACACGGCCAGTGTGGCCCTCGAGGACGGCCAAGCACGTGCCGTTCACCATGTCCTGCGCATCTATAAGCACCGGAGCCTATAACGTAAACCCAAACCATTAATTCACAGTCTTGTTCCCTTTCACTGTTTGGGCGCTCACAGTCAATCATCGGTCTACAACATCACGTTCTCCAGCTACTACCGTGTAACACCTTGGAACTCCCGGGTCCCAAAAGACCATAATTTCCAATGAAGTAATCACGCACTCACTACGTTCACTGGTACTCACTTCATTTAAAACACTAGGTCCTTTCTTAGGTCTTGAAAGGTTCTTGACGGTTACAGCTAGATCCGAATTCATCCTCGCGCACCGCTATCCCAAAAGCCTGAACTAAACTAGGTAGAAGGTAAATTAAAGAATGCACGCTTGTATTTCGCTTGAGTTGCTTTATTTGGGGCTTATTGCCAGTGGACAATGATCCCTGATCCCTAACTACGCCCGCAACCACAACAGAGCCTGAGGCAGAAATCGCCGAGCCTACGAGATATCTGTGATCGAGTGGTGCTGTGAGGACGAGTATGTCTGCATGTGAGACTTCTCATACCACCCCCCCCCCCCCCCCCCCAGACACAAATCCGTCCGAAACTTTCGAGATACCACGACGAATGTAGGCCATGTATGGTTTGAGGCTGTTTGGGAGAGCGACTGGGTCTCGAGTCCCGAGTTTGGCTGCGAGTCCTTGCAAAGTCAGCAATGCAATCCCCCCGCTTTCGAGCAAGTTGCCGGAGAGTTTAGGGTTTAGGGTTTAAGGTTCAGGACACTTGCTTGGAGCACTGTGATATTGATAGCTTCTTAGGAATTACGATCATGGAAGACGGTTTTGCGAGACACAGCGATCCAGATTGATGCACTGCTTCAAGCGGTCCCACATCCGGAGGGTCGTGTCATCTGAGCACGTGATGCAGGTCTGCTCGTCGAAGTCCTCCGGCCGAACAAGGCTTGTGAAGTGGGCAGAGAGCACATTGCAGAATTCGAGAAGCCAGGTGTTAAGGTTTAGTTCATATTGGGGCCTGAATAATCACCTCTACTATTTTCGGAGNNTAATATACCCCAAAACGCTATTCGAATTATTAAGGTGCCTACATTACTTACTTTGCCCCAATGTCAGATGGCGTGTTTCCTTGAATCGACCTACGTGCACAAGCGGTCCGCAACCACATCTCTCACCGCCAGCGTGTGACCCTCGAGCACGCGCAAACAGATGGAGTCGCGCACATCCCACACCTGAGATCTTGGCATCGGCCTTCTTCACGCACCGCTATTATAGAGATATGCAGCCGTCATACACGGCCCACCATACTTTACACAAGGCCTGTCTTATCTCGGAGCTCTTGGCATATGCATTCATCCTAAACTCCAATGAAGCGGAATGGACTGCATGCAGGATGATTGCAGAGTGGCCATTTTCTGAGATGTCAAGCGCTTTGCATTACGCTGAGTATCACTACCAACTCACACGATTTCCTCAGAAGCAAACGTAAGTGTGGCTCTGTCAATTACCCGACAACCTCTACCCCACGTTGAGACCAGGTGCGCGTGCGGTCTCGTCATCAGAGGCACTGACCGCTAAGCCCTGGCATCCAGGGGAATACAGCAGAAAAACGCTGCTGAAGCATGAACTAAACGGCCAGATCAGATCAGAAAAGAGAATATCGCAACACTAAATATGTTGCTCATGCGACTCAGAAACATAACAGCAATAACACCAGTCTGGCGATGACTGCAACTCACATCACGTCAACAAAAAGCTCAATACCACCAACCATCGC